AAAAATAAACAAATGATGGCTACACAGCATGTCACCTGTGTTGGGACTGCAGTGAAGCAAGGCAGTGGAGAAACCCAGAGAAAGCTTAAGAATCATGAAAGTTATCTGATTTGCATGCTTTAAGTTAGCTGATAAGGGTATAGAACATCTCTTTAATGTATTCACAGGTACCTTATTATTAAAGTGTCAAACCTCTTTGAAGATGCCTCAGTAATTTGCTATTCCATTTCTGTTTCATTCATTAAATAGTTTCTAAAGCACCCTCAAGATCTTGGCATTAGTAAAGTTCTCAATGAATCAAGCTGGGAGCAATTCAAACTATTTGATTCACTAAAGAGAGCATAAGTTATCTTTAGAAACAAACTGTAAATGAGAAGTGCAGTATTGTGGTCCCTTTGCAGTGTGAACATGTTAAAATTATTCTATAGCTCAAGAGACCATGATCTAAATAAGTGGGGCATACAGCTACCCTAGTCTAGATTTTTATTTCCTTTTTCACTTATCAATGTTGATTTTTGTAAATAAGTAAAAATAATTTATTTTTTAATTATTAAGAGATAAAAGGGAAGATACTCATGCAAATGAATTAAAAAGCATTCTGCTCCTAAAAGTATTAATATATAATGCTTTTATGTCTTTCCTAAAAATAAGTTATAAAATAATTTTTAATCTAGCTTTTTCTTTTACTAACAAAGATATTTAAAAACAATGTTAATTATGTACATGGTTTTAGTAGAAATGATTTAATGTCTTAATATAATTAACCAGGTACATGCAACTGATTCTTGTTAGTAAAAATGTTTAATTGACAAATATTGAGTTTCTGCTATAAAAATCATTGCATAGGCATTGTATAAATGTAAAAGACGTCATTAAAATCTTTGCCCTTGCAGACTATGATTTCATATTGTAGATATATCTTTAAGATAAAAATTTTCCTTAATATAGTATATTTTTTATGTATTGGAGGGATGGATTAGGTAACTTATATGGATCCGATCCAGCTTATATATTCTATTAATTATGCGAATTAATCACTGGGATAGTAAAAATATCAATCATTCATTAATTTATATCTGTACCATTTGATACTTTAGGAAGATTAAGAAGTTTATATTTGCTATATATATATATATACATATATATAAAAAATTGAAATAGATGTTGTCGATTTCAAACTTAGAGTAAATAAATGTGATCCCATCCATAAAACCAGTCTTCCTATATTCTTAAATAATCACTAATTTTAGGAGCATAGAAATCACTCAATACAAAAAAATAAAAACCTTTCCAGAATTTTCTTTTCAATTAGGAAACCGCATATTTGATAGTGATGCTGAGCTGTTATTCTACGAAACTCCCCAGGGAGGTCCTCTACAATGTTTGGAATCCATGCTTATATGCAACCCAGAGAACCTATAGCTTACCCAGGACAATATTCTTGATTGTATTATCTTATTACACATGATTTACATGTAATAGCAATGTGATTTGCAGTGTAGCAAATCAAAGTAGGACACTTAGCATCTGCAAGTCTCTGGATCTCTGAAGAGGCTATCTGGTGTTTAGAATAGCCTGGAATGGGATAGCAAGACCAGGTAACATCTAACTAACCCAAGAGAATTTGTTAGCAGCAGAGTCTATCCAAGACAGAGCTCATTCCACTTCAGTAAAGGTTTACCAAGAGGGGAGGGCTTAAATTAAATTGTTAATGGTGAATGTGTAGAGAAACTCACTACCTTTCTTCTTTAGCTTCAACAACTTCCAAAGACTAGTAACCTAATCTTTGAAATGAGAAAGAGACTCCAATGGGCCCTCCTTTGGCCAAGCCTCTCAATCAACTAGCCCCTCCTTCCCCAATGCCTCAGCTTTTTCAGGTAAAAATCCCTGGCATTTGCCCAAGGGGGACATTGTGGTGGTTTGGGGTGTCTTTCTGAGTGCCTGGGAGATTACACTTTCGGAGAAGAAACAGGAAGGCTCAGATTAGAAGGCCTAGAATGATATTGTGTAGGCACTCAGGGGATTTTTATGGAAGAAAGGGAGAACATGAGGGAGAAATAGAGAAAGCAAGGGGAGGAAAAAACAGGAGGAAGGCGGGAAGGACAATCAGGCAGGTCATATTGCTCGCCGTGCAGCCCTCCTCCAGCAAGACGAGGGAAGGAAGCTGCGCAAGAAGAAAACAAAACATCAGACTGAAGAAAGGCTGTGTAAGTGCTTAAAGGTTTAAAAGCTGCACGACTCTCCTCTACAGCGCCACTTCAGGTTAAACTAGACAAGCCTTCTTCCTTAGGTCTTCCTGCCCCCTCCCTTCCCCTTCTCTGTAGGTGGCTCCATCTGGAGGATTTCCAGGAAGGCCAGAGAGAGTTAGGCATCTCTGATTTGGGTTCTGCCTCCTAGGAGCCTGGGGAGAGCTGGCATAGCCCACTGTGGGTTTACACTGCAGCTTCCTCACTCCACTAGGTGCTAATCCTTGCAGCTGCAGTGGTTTTGGAGGAGGCTAGATGAGGAGAATGGGGATGGAGCCTGCAGTGTCTCTGAAGACTGGATTCCCTGAAGGATTGATTCTCCGGGATAGAGCAGGGAAAGTATGGAGATGGGCCATAGGCAGTTCTCGAACAAGAGCTGCAGATTCTGAATGATTTGCTAGTTCTCTAAGAAAACTCCAAAGAAATTGACTGAGATGCAGAGGAGGCCAGGAAGGCCAGACTAAACATTCATAAACATTCAATGAGGAGAAAGGCAATATAAAAGTGAGAGAAAGAGACCTTACAAGAAAAAGAAAGGCAAAGAAGAGAAATGTGATGGTGTAAAAAGGGACCCTTGGAGATTATCTCTAAAGATGTGCTGGAAAGCAGGCATTATTTATTTGAAGACTGCAGCAATATCACTGATGATGCTGAAAATTAGAGACAGAATGGAACATTTGCACTGAATATTACGTTTTAATTGTTTATTCTATAGACTAGAAATTAATTGACTTTTCTCTAGCTCCATGGTTCTGGGCCTTTTTCCTCATCTGTAAAACAAGGGATTTGGACTAGATACCTTACAGGGTCTGTGCCTGCTCTGACCCTCTCTTGTCAACCTCTAAGCCAGGGACTCTAAGATCAAATATTTATGAGGTTTAATACCACAGTCCCCCTTTTCCTCCACTACCCCCTTTTCAATACAGTGCAACACCTGCACCATTCATCCAACTGATGCCAACTCTCATTGATGACAGAGAGTATGGCTCAATTGTGAAAAATGATTAGTTCTTCTGCTCTGGCGCAAGGAAAGAGGGAACAGAGAAAGCAGCATGATTTATACTTTGGATTTTCAAGGAGAGGATATTCTTGAATTTTCAATTTCAAATTTCACCCATTTAACTAAATTACAAAAGCCTTTGAGGGGTTCCAAATAGTTGGACTGATAAATGGACAAAGAGCCCTATAATGACCTCCATCCCTGTTTGGGGGAACATTTATTTCATTTCATCCCAGAAATTATATCTGCTTTTTTTTTTTTTTTCATGAAAATCCAGCACATACTGGCCATGTTCTTCTCTTGTTTGCCTGCCTCTAGCCATTCCGCCAACCTGCTTCAGTGCAGCATTTTCTGGGATCATTAACCACCCAACGCTTAATGAGAGTGTATTCATGAGTAAGGTGTTCAATGATGCAGAACCCCCCCCCCACACACACACACAAGGAGGCACTTTAAATGATCATGGAGGTAAAACGTGTTTTCACCAAGAGTTTCATTTTGAATTTGTCTCAACCTGAAATTCCTTTAGAAGATTGAAAAAATATATATTAATAGGTAGAGATAAAACTCCCTGACTTCTCTTGCCTTCAAGTGGAAAGCGACACACAGATAGTATATACTTAGTGTTTTCTACACCCACCAACATTTCTATTTCATTTTAGTCTCCAAAATATGAACAGGAGGGCAACTCTAGAAAAATGGATTCCCACTCTGGCATCTCACAGGGCAGTGCCCGGAGCAGTGCGGAACACTCACCATTTCCTGGCGCGTGGGGACCATCGCCCTCTCCGCGCCCCCTCCCCACGCTCGTTCTCACGCCCCCTGAGGGCATTCAGCAATCCGATTTCCACGCGGGGTTTGACCTTGCAAAGACCCATCTTCCAGTTTCTGGGCAAGGAACAACCCATTTTAACTCAAAATACACAACGACCTTTTCTCCTTTAAAGAAATACTACCAAATGTAACACACCTGGGTTAACATTTCCCAACCCTGCATTCCGGAAGACGAATACGGAAGGCAAAGGCAGGTAACTAGTTTGGGTCTGACAGTACCCGTTCAGCGACTCTGAGTCTCAGGCTCTGTTCAAAATCCACAGTGCGGTGGAACATCTTTCCTTTTTCTGCCCATTCACCATTGTGACGAAAAATCAAAAACGAAAAAAATTATTTACTCATTTCTTAAATACTGAGAAATGTGATTATTTTGCGCCTAACTCCGCGGATTTTAAACACTGACATCCCGCTTAGAAATCAACCCCGATTTCCATGCCAATCTCATCCACTCAGTTTTACTTAGCAAACACCTTTGCTGCCCTTCCACGGTGAGAAAAATGGTGCACCAACTCCACGGATGACAGGTTGGTACCTGACTGCACCCGCTTAATAGTTTTATCAGCAACCAGAAAACTTCACAACCGGTCAATTATCTACTTAAATCTGTCTAAGGAAATCCGCTTATTTATAGATTTAAACTACAAAAGCATCACAGTTTCACCTATCTTAAATCTAGCCTAAAATAATCCCCCAAACACACCGCATATAAACACTCCCCCTTCCCCCACCCCAATTTTTCCAAAAGATCCCCTATGGACTAACAGCACATTCAGATCGCCAGCATCAACTAAGGCAATTGTCACCATGCATTTAGACGCATCTATGCAAAGCCAAGTATGTGACAATAGCCAAAGCATCTCCCTGACAATTGGCTGCGCTACACATGCAGAAATGCAACGAAGATTGTATTTTCCACTTACAGTTATAGCGCTGCGCACGGTCACTTAACGAAAATGATAAAACTCAACAGTTCTTTTTAAAATATATATATTTAATTCGGGTAAACGGTTAAGCCGTCTCTGTGTGTGGTTCTTTCTCGCTCTCTTTTCCTCTAGAGCTCTGGGCTGCTTAAATCCCTCTCGGATCGCGCCTTGCCAGCCCAGCCGCCGCCGCAACACGCTCGGGTAAATCTCTGTTGCAGATTGGGAATCCCATAGAAAACCTAGGGTCCCTGGAGCTGGGTGCGCAGGCGCGTGAGCTTCCGCCTCTCCGGGCACCCCCTCCCTCTCCTCTCCTCCCTCCGCTCGCGGCTCCGCAGCCCTAGCTAGGAGAGCTCGGGAGCCTGCGACCGAAAGCCGCCCGGCGATGCGCATGCTCAGTTAGAAGGGCTCGGAGTTTCCGCGGGTGGATTCCGCGTCTCCAGATTTTAGCAGAAACTCAAAAGGAAAGTGGCTAGGGAAAGGGAGCCTGCCTGCCTGAGCTGCCTGCACCTGGACTGGCGCAAGGGAGGGCTAACTGGGCTCTTCACGCCCCGCAGTTACTGAGCGTGGTGGCTGAAGGCCGAGGCCTGAGCTGGGACACGCAGGGCCCGCTTTTCCCGCCGCTCTGTCCTCGTGGCCCGAGACCCACCCTTTGCCAGGCTGTAAGATGGGGGGAAACTGCTGAAATCTCGGAAGCAAACCTGCTCAGCAAGTTGTGAGCACGTCTGCCTGGCTCACTGAGGGAACGGTTGTGGTGGTCATTTTGCCATGAGCCATTTCATCCGAGGGTCTTCTGCTGAGAGTACAGGGTGCTGGTCCTCCAGCACCCAGTGACCTGGCCAGAACGGCGTTAGAAAAATGTGTGTTCAAGGGAGCTGGGTCGGAGGCTTCTTGCCCTGTGCACCTTGGGCAAGTCATGCTAAACCATCAAAGACTGTTTAATAAACGCCTTATGTATGCACTTCATAAATATTTATTGAATATTCATGGAGGAGGTGGGGATTGTGGAAGGCAGGGACTGAACCATTTGCAAACCCAGGTTGAGGGCTAACTAGGCGATCTTATAAACCCTCCTTTGTGTCCTTGAACAACTAACTCCTTTGGTATCTCTTCCCCGCTCTCCCTCTCCACTGGCCTGCCAAAGCCTAGAAGACTTGGCAAGGAGTAGAGCCCAGTAAATGCTTGGTCGGTCGCTTCCCTAGTAAGAGAGCAAGGAGAATTCTCAGAGTTCCTAACCTAATCACTTTCCCCAGCTCCGGATGTCTGCACATTCACTCATTAACAATTTTTCTTTGAACACCTATAGACTATTAGGGAACTGTTTTATGCTTTCAGAATAAATGCAGTGAACAAAAATCCTTTCTGGGGTTTTCATTTAGGTGGGAGTTTTACTTTCAAGGGAGGGGCATTCTGGGGGTGCAGTGAAGATCAACATTCTCCTTAAGCAGAGAGCTTTTGCAATTTGCACAGCATCCTCACACACCTTATCACGTTCAGGGAAACTGCAGAGTTGAGTTTTTGGTGCTGAGGACAGCAGGAGCATCTTCCGTGGCAAACGGGCTCTGACTTGACAAATCTCCACTGCCAGTAGGCAGCTGCTCCTTACTAAAAGTCAAGGAGTCCATCTTCGAGCCAACTTAAGGCTACTTAAGGGAGGAATAGGAAAAACTCCGCCCGATGAGTCTTTAGCTATAGAAGATTCATGCTAAGTGCGGGCCTGAGGACGATGACACCTAAGCCCCATTCAACACCAACCTGGCCAGCCCAGAGCCCAGAAACACCCTCCCTCGGCCAGACTCCTCGGGAAGGCTGAACAGAGGGAGGGCGCGCTCTCGGGACTCCCAGGACACCGCTGGTGGCTGTCCCTTTCTGGAGGGGCTCTTCTGCTGGGTGCTGGTGACCATGCTGGTGACCGCGGAAACCCGGAACGCGGAACCGCGCGGACGAGAGCGCGCGCCCTGGCGCGCTGCGGCAGCCGAGCACATTTTGAGTCTGCCGGGCGCCGGCCCTGCGCTCCCGGGCCGCAGTGCGCACTGCAGCGCGCGCTCGCTGGCGGGCCCCGCCGTTTCTGTTCCTTGGGATGCAGGGGGGGCCGGGGGACGGCGTGGGGTGGTCATTTCTGGATGAGTCGCTTTTCTTGGCCAGAAAGACAACCTCCAAGGCTTTCAAAATCCCGTCTTTAGTCGATTTCCACCACTAAGCATTTTACGCTGGGCTGTCTGGTTTCTCTCTGGAGAACAGCCTCCGCACTTGCAATAGGCATCAACCGAAGGGGTCAGGATGCCATTTCTTCGCTTTCACGAGATGTACATATTTATTGCACCCTGGAGGTCTCTTTTGTGGCAATGTTCGGTTTCAAATACCTTACTTTCAACTTGTGTTGAGGAAGAAATGTACACTGATACTTTAAACCGTGCTCTGTTATAGAGTAGATTTAATTTCGGTGCGTGCGCTTTTGTAAAGCAGCTGAATCTAAGTGAGCAGGCAGATTTTTTTTTAAATCCCTTTTGCACGGCAGCGTTGTTTGGCGTCCTAAATAAGATACCTTAATTTTAAATCTCCAGCTATTAGGTGGCTTCATTTTTTTAAGCTTGTAATATTTTGTTGTTTAACATTTTTTAAAATATACTCTTTAGTAGAGTTTTATATGCAGTGCGATGTCACAGCGGGGAAACCAATTCTAAAAGACTCCTGAAGGAATGCTTTTGTTTAAATTACAGAAAACAATTCCCCTCTTTTGGATGGTAGAATGAACTTTAAGAGAGAGATGTGGTAGGGACACTAAAAAATGAGGGAGCCCGCTGATTCTTTCCTCCTTCAGGCATTTGTGGATGTTTCTGGTGATCATAGGAGAGTTGAGATGCGCTGCTCCCGCTCCTATGCACCCAGGGGTAGAAGGACTGCAACACTGCACTGTGTTGAGTGGAGAATGCTGTCGGCTCTCGCGGCTGTCCCATTACCTAAAGCCATGTCCCCAACACTACAGAACACGGGGGCCAGCTTTCACACCCCAGAATTTTTTTTTGTAGAGGGTGGGGGAGGGGAGGAGGATGGTTTTATAGGTAAGGGCCTTTTTTTCCTGGAGTACCTGGTAGAAGCCTCAGAAATAATTGAGGAACCATTTCCCTTTCCTCTGTTACAAAGTATATTCTTTACAGAAGTTTCTAGCTTTATTTCTACCTCACTCCTTCTCAGATTCTAAAAATCCGTGGTGAATATTACATGGGGTTGTGTACACCTGAAAAGTTATTCTTGGTTTTATTTTGCTTGTTTATTT